GGGGAACTCGACAAAAACCTCTTGCAACTTAAGCGTCATTTTGAGGACGAAGAAAAACCGACAAGGCAACGGGCTCATGGCCCGGTGGGTGGAGGCGTGGACTTCTAAACCAACAGGTCGCGAGTTCGAGGTTCGGGTGTTCCACACTTCGGGCTTGGGTATGGCTGGCTGACGACGGCTAATAAGCCAGAAATGGCCATTCCAGTCTCCCTTGTCTTTGTCGGTAATAGTATTCTGAAGATAATTTTCTTTGTGAGATTTCATAAAAGAAGTGCTCTGGGATGCATGACACGTGCAAAAGAGGGTTCCCAGCTACACTATTTCCTCAGTCGTTTACATCCATCCAATGAGATAGTAAAACATATTTTGTCGCCTTTTGTATCTATGAAATTTGCGTAACTAGTAGTCTACTTCGCGCATTGTCATAATACATTCCGTCATCAGAACGATTTACTGAATTTGACATCGGACATAATTGCAGACCGTATAGAAAGCTGCTGGAAAGCGCTTCTAGAAAAACCGCATGCAAAATTCAACGAGGTGACGAAAGGTTAAATAATCCTGACAAACTGTGAAAAAGTTTTAGGCCGGACACGAAACGTGATCGTGCTTTATGAGTCTCTCTAAGACGAAGCCTCATTTTCGCATAATTATGCTGTTAGGAAAATATTTCATATTGCATATCTCTTACTTTAATCTGCATTTCTCATTCTGTACAGTGGTTCTCGTTTGTATTTGAGTATCAGTCTACCGAATCAAGCGCTTGACCTGTGTTTTTCATAGATGTCTAACAAATGCGCAATAGGCGTGCCCGGCAAAGTGCATTTATGTGCCCGAAAAACGGCAAATATTACAAATCTAAATAGTATACCACGTCAATCGGCGACACATATATATTCAAAAAACTCCTTGCCCTGAGTTATTCTCCATCGTCGACATTCTTCGTTTATGTAACTGTCGTCTTTCTACTAAAAAATGACTTTAGTAAATGCAGCCATGTTTTCTGCCGCGTTTGGCTGTATGTCGCTAATGCAAAATGATGTAGGATATTCTAGGCATGATCGCTAACCATTGAAAATCACTTCGTCTTGGCCTTAGCAATAGATTTGCAACAAATGTCCGCGTGTTTTTTCTACCTCGTACATTCTTCATAACTGATGATTGCGAAAGTAAACGGGGAAAATTATATTCGCATACTTAGGATTTGAAGCCTATCCTCAGCAGTTCTGAGGCTACATGTTATTAAATTGCTCACTATACTGGATGTTTTGGACGATCTAATGAATGTAGACCTGATACACCGCAAACGGGAAACACTTGCGTCAAACTTGACGCTTAATTCGGAATTCCGACGGCTCTCCTTAATGTCTCGAAACACCTACTTTGAATTTTTAGGGCTGTGTTTGACATTAATGGACAAGGTCTTACTGGGTAGCGGGAACCGCTCAGAACGTCCGAATTTCGTTAAGGCCTCAGTTATATTTCCAGGTGGCCCGGTGACCAAATCATTCGCCAATCTGACTGGGGATATTATGTCTGTGCATTTCGCCAACTGCTTATTCACTGATTCCGAAAACTAGCTTACCCTGCCAAGCATTTACGAAGCCAACCTCGCCGTCCTACTCCTCGAATATGAAAGGTAGTTCATTGCAAACCTATCAGTTAGATTGTGCCTTACTCAACGATAAATTATGAGTGTCAAGGTTTCTCAACTACTCCTCAAGGTAAATCATTTTGCAGACTATCCGTCAGACTTTCTCATACCACTGGACGCCTTCCATATATCATCCAAATATAATTATTAACAGATATCCAAAAAGGGTTCCGCTGTATACAACCGGTCTTGCCAGACAAAACCGCCTTAGATCATCTCAAAATAACTGCATTCAGATTGACGTTAATAACGGCCAAGTTCTTCGATTTTCTGCGTACAACTGCCAAACACCATTCACTCCGATAGCATATTAGTGGGCAGATCGTCGAGTCACATTCCCTTCCTCACAAAACGGTGAAAGGATTCTCTTAGCGCTATGTACTGCCTTGCGTAGAACAGAAAAAGCCATGCCAACATGCAGGCATAATAGGACGACCCACGACTACGGTCTATTGGTCATCTGTGGTCACTACTCAACCCTGTCGATCGGTTCGATTCCTGTCATATTAATTTCGAGAGATCTGAAAATCTTGTCCCTGAAAATTTTTATATGCTCAGTAGACTCACATACAAAGCCTGAAAGAATTAAATTTTACCTTATCTCCTCTCTCATATTATTGTGGTATCTTAAGGCAGGCATTTGATGATTATTTGCTTCGATTTACAGTCAGTGATCGATTTAATGAAAGGTTAAACAAAATTCTGAAATCTGTGTTTACTTAAAAAAAGGTTTAAATTCAAAAACTGTATGCTTTCCATGTTGGGAAAATCACACTTACCTCTATACCAATAAAACGATATCATATAAATTTGCAATGCATGCAGTCTATTTTTTACACTTTATTAGCAGTATGCTATCTGAATGAACATTTCACGGGCACATAAAATATCATATTTGCTAACATTTGAAGTGCAAATGATGCCCTTTCTTCAAATGCAAAATTTGAAGATAATGTATATCGTTACCAAATGAGAAAAAAAATGTTAACGCATGTTTTCTGTAAAATATATTTGAATTTATAAGGATATCCAAAGACGTAGAACATTTGCATGCTGTTTAACTAGCCATTCTGCCGATTGTGACTTCTGTTCTCGACCAAGCAAAAGTGCATTGAGAAGCCGAAATCCTGCGTGAATGTACTATCCCGAGTTAATGTTGCACGGTTTACAGTATGAGAGCAATTACGTAATCCTTCTTATATCAAACTTAAGGCAGCTAGAATTGAAAGAGGCCGTATTTGCAACTTCCGACCTATTGTCAACGGGAAGCAGAGCATTGCATCCCGAATATTTCCTGAAGCTACTATCTAAATGCGTCCGTTCTGTCAGTTGTGATATAAGTATCGAAATAAACAGCGCCACAGTGAACATCTTCAGCCTCGGCTGAAATCTGCTATAATGCGCGGCACGGTTGGCAAGGTTTGGGTTAATGTTCATGGACACTCTGCTTTTGTGTCCCGTGAGTGCACATTTTAACGCCCACTTATTCGTTTGGAGTGGGCTATCCCGTTCGCATTACTGGGTACCTATCCAAAACCCGTGCGCTTGGATAGGAATCCCCAACTTTGGCCGCACAAATATCCGAAAATTTTTATTAATGTAGTATGCATCGAAGGTAGAGAAAGTCTGCTGGACAAGGTACAGGACTGACATCGCTGACCTGGCTGTCATATGTATGCCTATATTCAGGATATTTCAATCCCTATTATGGATGCAGAAAAACAAAACCAACAACGTAATCTTTTTTTCTACCGTCTCCATCGTTTGCATCCTGGTAAATGCGTGTTATTAGCTACTCGCTTCAGGTTACTATGCTATCTGGTTGACTCCTGTGGTCCTCATGCCCTCGACTGCATGTTCCATGCTATACGTATTTTTGTGTCCCCTTTCTCAAGGCATACTCTACGAGACAATTTTCGGGGATGGCAAACCTCTACTTCTGGTTCCAACCTCATTGGGCCCTAAACATCCCGACTCCCACGAACCTCATATCAGGTCCCAAAGTCCCGTTTGAGGTATCCGTAGATATCATTTAAGAGTGTGAAGACTGTCTTGGCCGACTTCACACCCCTGTCCTATTGTAATGCAGGAGCCTTTCATCTACCTCTTAGTCGGTGCCTTTTATTTTGCCGTTGGTGCGATACGGCAATAGCATGCAAATTCAATCTTTGACTTGGCTTTTCGAAGGAATATATCTGACGTTGAAATAGTCCACAACAAATTTGGAAGCAAACTTCTTGCCTTCTAAGGATGTGAAAATTCCCATGAAGCAATTCAGAAGAGCAATTGGCAATAGTAGCAAAGACACGAGTCCTAGGAGGCACTTGTTAAGAAGAAGACATGATCGCCGGGACAAGAGCTTCATTCGCCTGACGTTTCGGATTCCTGGTCGAACTCATCATCAGAAACAACAACACATACGGGTGATTCACGCACAAGGGGCTGCAGTATTTATAGGATAAATTCGTCATGCTACCGCAAACCTATGAATATTCACGGCTCTCCCCTTCATCCGGGATCGTCGCACTTGGTGTGCTAATTGTTTGATGGTCGACATTCGCGCCATTAATTGCTGCAATTTCATCACATGCGTTGAGTACTGCTGTGATGAGTGCTCAACCATCTGATCCAGCGACGCAAGATTTATGAAAAGTGTTCACTTGTGCGTTACCCGCGTGCATATTTACTCCGCCTAGCCGAACACTCAGCATCGATTATGGAAGGGGAAGTTCGTTGCACTTGTAAATGAACTGCGGGCCGGTAAACCATAACTCAAGCAGCTTCCGGCTCACGCGGTTTCCATCTCTGGCGAGAATTTCGGCCTCATCGAATTTCAATGCGTGGCCGGATCTTGTCGAATGAGCCGCAACTTGAGAGCTGGCGTCATCTCTCGGCACCGCTGAAGTATTTTAGGCCATTCGCGTTTGGAGCCCTCTCCACGCTGATTGGCACTACACAGTAATATCTTCCAGATAGTTAACTTAAAAAACAACTGAGAGTGCTGAGTCGTGAAGCCAACTTTAATACGGCAGATGTCAAACCGGCCGAATTTATCGCCGCACTTGAAGCCATGTTGGTAAGAACCAACGCGACCGATGAGGCTAAACACACCGTACGCCAGAAAGTCACCTCCCTACTGCTGACGAACAGGCCCATCAATAATATGTCGCCCGCAGAAATAGAAGCAATGAAGGAATTTAAAATGGACAAAGATATAATAGTGCTGTCAGCCGACAAAGGAAGAGCAACCGTCGTGATGAACCGCGTGGACTACAACTAAAGGGCACAAGCCCTCCTAGACGACCAACAGTCCTACAAGCCCACGCCTCCCTCGCGAGCCAAATCGATGATTGGTCAACTAATTGGATTCCTGAACCGACTCAAGCGAAACAGTGCTATATCGCTAGACGAATGGCGACAAATGAAACCAACGGACACGGCACTGGCCCGGTTTTATGGATTACCCAAAATCCACAAGCCCAATGTTCCCCTTCGACCGATCGTTGCCTTAAAAGGCAGCCCCACTTACAATCTATCCAAGTGGATGGCCCGAAAACTTAATTTTCTCCGAGAAGACTCAATGACCTCCATCAATTCGGCCTCCCAATTCCTGGCCGACATCCGAGGAAAGGTTGTCCGACCGGAGCAGATTATGGTGTCCTTTGACGTGGTTTCATTATTCACGTCCATCCCACCGGACCTGGCACACGACGTTCTTCGCAAACGACTCGAAGAGAATTACGACGAGATGAACAAACCCCTAAAAGTCGACCACATACTGCAACTGTTTGCTTTCTGCCAGCAAACCTTCTTCACCTTCAATGTCAGAACATACGAGCAGATCAAAGGAACGCCGATGGGTTCGCCAATATCCAGCCTGGTTGCAGAACTAGTCGTGCAGGAACCGGAAAAAGTCGCCTTCGACCACTATGAACCTGCATTTTGGCGCCGGTACGTGGACGACACGTTCGTCATAATTGAAAGGAGCAGACTGGCCGACTTCCAGACCTGCTCAACGGAATCTTCCCAGACATTCAGTTCACAAGGAAAGAAGAGCATGCCAAACAGCTGCCTTTCCTTGACGTTCTCGTCACACGCACACCCAACGGCGAACTCAACGCCACGGTGTACAGAAAGGCGACTAACATGACTCAGATTCTCAACTACCACAGTAACCACCCAATGGCGCATAAACGCAGCTGTGTTAGGACACTCTTCCAGAGGGTAAAAACGCACTGCAGTGAACCAGAGGGACGAGTACGAGAACTTCGGCATCTTCGAGACCAACTGGCAAGGAATGGATACCCGAACGGCTTCGTCAGCTGCCGCCTCCGCACGCGCCCACGGCGAACAAACGGAGGTGAGCCACCAACACTCTGGCACCCTCTGCCATATATAAAGAACGTATCCGAAGCGATGGAACGTATTGCTGGAGAGCTCGGCGTGGGTATCGTTCACCGTCCGACAGCGACCATGCGCAGAAAATCATGCAAGTGAAGGATCACCTAGACGTGGGTGAACAATCGGGCGTCGTCTATCAGATCCCATGTCGGGAGTGCCCTTGCCACTACACAGGACAAACCGGACGACGACTTATCTCACGAATAACGGAGCACAAATGCGCGGTCCGGAGAGGCGACCCGTTGTCTCAGATCGCCACTCACACCCTGGAAGCAGGCCACGAATTCAAGTTTGCTAGCATGCGGATAGTGGCGCGGGCCAGCAATAAGACAGGACGTGAACTGTTAGAGGCCTGGGGGTTTGGCACCAACTCTATCAACAGGCACGTTGACATACCCCCCTGCTATCACGCGCTCCGTTCCCGCGGCCAAGGGGCGAGACCCAATTTCCAGCCAAGGGTACACGCAGTCACGCCACCGTGAGACGGCGTGGGACGCAACTTATCGCGAATACCACCCTCTGCACTCATATCTCTCCCCCCCCTTCATGGCGTGACTACAAAGACCGCTCATTTTATGTTGCCTTCTCACAGTCTCTGACGATGGCCTCCTGTACGAGACTGAAAGCTCAGACTAATATACCCACTGTCCCAGAGATCGGGTCTTCATCTTCTTTTCAAAGTAATATTTTCGAGTTGAAAACACATTTAGGAATTTCGGCTAAAATTTCATGAGTTAGCATATTAACTGTAAATCATAACATGTAAAATGAACGTGCCAGCTTGTCATCCAACTACAAACAGTCGTCAGTTGTAAGGGTGTGTAGTGGCCCTACTCCGCGCTGGCCCTCTCGCGAATGTGTGCACGTGCGCACCAGGTCTGTCTGACATTCGCCCACTCGGATTTCTAATCGACCAATCAAATTCAAGGCCAAGTCAGATGCACACTCTCTTAAAGCGCTTTGGCGCATTCCCTGCAGACGCTTGAGGACGCAGCTTTTTTGGCGCAGGAGGCACTATCCTCTTGCTGCCAACGCTCTCTAAACCCCTCTTCCAGTTATTCTGTAGAGCATGAGTCACCCCCCCCCCCAGCTGGCGTTCACCTCTTTCCATTTTAGATCGGGCCTCAATATCGTAACAGCCAGGCTCTCACTCTCAGTTTAGGCTTCTTCAAAAGGTTCACTTATCCAACCCTGCTGTTTGACATTGCAAGCTAATTTTGCAGCTACAATTCACAGAAATTTAGCTCAGAGTTCTTCCCAGTTTATAGTCATCAATTGCTGGCTTATTATGAGTGATGACAGAAAAGCAGGCTGAAAATGTGGCTGCACTACTCAGTGGGAGCATATGAGTCACAGGTTCCCCTGCCGTTGAGCGTCTGACAGGTGTCTCAAATGGACTTTGTGATGACTGAGACGTTTTTGTCCACAATCTGGCCTTTCCAATGACGTCATACGCCAACTGAAGGAAATCAACATTTCAGGTAAGGGTTCCTATGTACAAAGGCGATGAAATGTAGACAGTGTGAAGAGATTTTCACAGTAAAATCTTCCACAGTCTACTCATAACAGAAGGAATGCCAGTGGCTGCCTATCAGTTACTTTGAAATCCGACTTCATCACTTTGCTACTTCCGAAGATGCCGCAAAAAATATATATTTAGGCATTGTATTTAATTAGTTGTCTTTTTAGTTAATCCCAGTTTTCGTTCGGATTAGCATTCTAAAAGTTACGTTAACTCAGAATATGTCGATGCCTTCGATTCAGCACGGTCAGACGGAAAAAGTGTGATTGTCCGTCTAGAAGCATTTTTCCTTTAGTTGGTACTCTAAAGTCTATTTAGCGGGTCTGGAATCATGAACGGTAAAAAAAGACGATTAAAGTGTCAGAAAAACAAGTGGCACGTTCTACGTTTCAGAAGGGAATTTCGATTAGGTGCGCGTTATTTGAGGAAGTCCATGTCGGCCAAAAGACAACGGTGTGTGGCACAGCAAAAGTTGATAGAGATCGAGTAGGCCTTTTGGCTGATTTGAATTATTTATATGGCCCAGTTGAGAGAAGTACGGTGTCTCTGTACGATTTGAACACACGATAGCAAGAAAAAATCTCTGGTTCAGTCAACGTTCTAAGCGCCTGATTTAAGACGCTTCATACATCCACAATTGACTCAAATAAAATAGAAAAACAGGTAAATAATAGTGATAGGAGAAAATATCGAAGGTTTTGCGACTTGACCAAACTGGGGGAAAACTATGACCCATGAAAGCGGGGATAGCTTCAGTGGGTTTTGTACGTACCCGCGTAGGTTGTCCCTGTTAGACACCTTTTACCGTAAACATTAAATCTTTTGTTTGCCTCAGAAAATTATGGCCATCTGTTTTCCTCCAACCTTCGACATATTTGTTTGAATCTTCTGTTTTTTTCCCGCGCAATATGACGCTGCCCATCTGACTATGTTATCAGTATGAGTATCAGTGTATTTCAGGGAAAGTATTTGTGTACCTTTGAAATTCCTATTGGTTCCATGCAGAGGAAGTATACGAACAATATCGAATGGAAGTAGTATGACAGAAATACAAGGGAATAATAAAAACTGTACAGATTAAGTCAGTTTGTCTTGCGTCATGAGGATCTAGAGGCACATGAACTCGGTTTGTTGACTAAATGCAGCAGGAAGTTGAAACACACTTAAGATACAGGAAAAGAAGTAAAGATTTTTTAGTCTGCAGGCATCGTGATGAATGCGAGCGGCGGGATGCGACGTTTTTCACAACTAATAAATTTCATAGACATATGCTACTTAAAAGATGGTACTAGCATCGTTTTTAACACTAAATTGTCAACGTTGGCTATTGAGGTGGCTGAAGTCCGGCGGCGTTTTTGTGGCGCGCGCTCCAATGCTTATCTAGCCTCCGTTTAAAAGTATCTACCGATCCCGACATAACAACATCCTCAGGCAAAACATTTTAAGCTGCATCCACTCTGTTCTGGGAAGAAGGACTTTCGTGTGTCTAGTCGGGCACCAGTCACACGTAGTTTGAGTGGATGGCCTCACAGTTTAGTCGTAGTCGCCAACTCGAAGAAGTCTCCGGATGCGACGCAGCAGCCCTGATTGCGCACGATACGGGAAGCTTGTATCATGTCCCCAGGAAGCTGTCTGTAACTCAAAGGAAAGAGATCAAGTTAAGCTAATCGTGTTTCGAAGGGTAGTGAGCACTGCCCAGATAAAAGATTCATTGATCGCCGTTGAACGTTTTCGAGTATGCCGAGGTCTTTAGCAGTCCAGGGTCTCCATGCTTGGATAGCAAACTCCAGATGCGGTCGTGCAAAAGTTTGAAATACCTTCGCGAAGCAGTCTTCATCACAGGCGGAGAACGCCCGTTAGACGAGGTATTGAATGGACATCGCCGATTTGGCTACCTTTGAGCAGTGCAGCGAAGGCTTGAGCGAGGTTGTGATCCACACCGCCAAGTCCTTCTGGGCGTCGACTTCTTGCAGTGGTTTGCCAGTCAGACGGTTGACCATGCGGTTAGGAGAATTGGTTCCGACGACGCGTAAGAAGTTACACTTGCATACGTTGAACGGTAGAAGCCAGTCTTTTGACCATTGCTCGAAGTGGTCCAGATTTGTCTGCAGGCACGCCTCGTCAACTTCGTCTCGCATAGTACTCTAGATCTTTCTGTCATCTGCAAACATTGCGACGTCGCAATCCAGTTCGTTTGCGTGTCGTTGACGTATATAAGGAGCAGTTAGGGCCAAGAACAGAGCACTGGGGAACACCACTCCTTACGGCAACCCCGGCAGATTGCTGGTCACTGACGTGGACGGCTTGAGAGCGGCCCAGTAAAAAGCTTCGAATCCACATCAGAAGCTTACCTCGCACTCCTGCACGATTGAGTTTGTATAGAAGGCGGTGGAGAGGCACACCGTCGAAGGCATTTTTAAAGTCGATATAGATGGCATGCATCATATCTCCTCTATCAACAGTCCGGTGTTCCAGACAGTTAAGCAAGTCTGTCACACATGATCTGCTTTTTCGGAATCCATGCAGGGGATCGGAAGGCAAATGGTTTTTTTCAAGGAAATGTATTAATTGGTACTTTATTATTTTCTTAATAATCTTGCAGCAAGTGGATGTGAGCCTGAAAGGTTTGTAATTGTTTACAGAGACCCGACTTCCGCCCCTGTGCAGCGGCGTAATCCACGCCGACCTTCAGTTGGGTGGCAGATATCCGATCTCGAAGGATGTATGGAAAAGCATGCAGAGTGATTTAGCCAACTCATCGGCGAGTTCCTTAGAAATCGTCGCCGGAATCTCATCGAGAACTGGTGATTTTGATTCCTTTAGCCTCAGCAACTCCGTCAGAACCATACCCTCAGTGAACGGAACGGTTTCCATAATTGTGGTGTCTTCGAAAGTTTGAAGGGCCAAAGGATTAAATCCTGTTTCGCTACCAAAAACAGACCGAAAAAATTCTGAAAGGTGATCAGCTTTCGCTCTTTCTTCAGTTAGATGTTCGCCTTCAGCAGTTTTTATCATTGGTATTGGGTCCTTGTTCCGAGTGCACTGTCTTATGTAACCGTAGAATAATTTAGGATTTTCCGCGGCACGGTTTTGCAGATCCCGTTTGAATTCCCTTCTAGTTTTGAGGATAAGGACCTTGACTCGATTTCTTTGGATTTCGTATGCACACAGAGATCTAAGGCTCCTGTCAGAAAGCGATTTTTTCCACATTTTTCTTTTTTTTATTC